CACGAAGTAAACAAACAAGCAGGAAAATGAAACTTATCGCCCCCTTTTTTTTTCACCGACCTCAAAAAAAGTTATCGTGCAATTAATTGATTTATTGACTATCGCGACAGGCCTATTTGTATGTAAAAATTTCAGAATTCTTTCCTGTTAGAAATCGGGTAAGGAAAATAGTTAATGTGAAAATTTGATGTTTGCACATTGAGTATTGTACAATTCACTTGTTACTGTTAGGGATGCATGATATATCAGCATTAACATCAGTATCGGTCCGATAAGTAAAACTGGGCAGATATTAATGTCCGATACTGATTCCCACTCTTTAGCTTTGTGCTTCTGTTTTGTGAGGGGAAATGGTTGGTCAAGTGGTTTCTGGTCATGATAGTGTTAGTGATGCTGCACAGCCAGTTATAACTGAAGTAGAGAGTCATGTCAGCTGTCTGGTCATTTATTTACAGTATCAAAAAAAGACACTTGTGATTGTGTGTATATGTACATAAATAATTTGTGTGTCTGTGTAACATTAGTAAATATCGGTTATCGGCCATAACAGCAATAATTATATGGGATATCAATATCAGCCGAAATTTTCATATCGGTGCATCCATAGTTACTCTCAACTGTAACAGTAATTCATGCTGGCGCAGTGTCCATAGTTCCCATTTTAGGCAACAAAATGTGTCTTGACTGCTTAACTATAAACAAATATGACAGTAGTAATAAATGAAGCGTACTGACAGGTTTCAAAGTCATAAAGCACAGCAGCAAATAAATAAAAATAAAAAAAATCCTACTAATTACTATAAATATTCTCATCCATCCATTATCTTAAACCGCCACTTCCTTTCAGGGTCACTGGTGCCCATATCCAACAGTCACTGTGCGAGGTGCGGGGTACACCCTGGACAGGTCACAAGTCCATCACAGACTTTATAAATACTTTTAAACTTGAAGTATTCACTCCAAATATTTCATTGAAGTCAAGATAAAAGCATAGCGACAAATTGCATTTCAGTTAATGTTTTCAATCTTTTGCTGTTATCTTTATTTAACACACTTAAAGTAAGTGGTATTTTTAATCACAAAACTTACACACTGTCAAATAATACCCTGCCAGGTACCTATACTACGATTAGTCAATCCATGTAATGTTAGCTAAAATAGGTGTAATATGACAGATTATCACTGATCTAAGTAAACGTATTTTGCAAGAAGAACGTAAACAAAGATCTGTTGGCAACTATGCAGTGGGTGTTTTATGTTTCCATGCTACAATGCAACAACATCAATTAAGCCCACATTTATTTTAAAATCTCTTTTGTTTTTGGGCATTTTGTTTTGGGACTCTTCATCTCCCTTCTTAGCTAAAGATAGTACAGTATGTGAGCGTTGTGCAACACTAATAACATTTCGGACAGACACTGTTTGCACTGGTTTAACAGTGTCTATTTTTAGTGAAACTTCAAGGCAGGAAAAGGATTTCCAAATTATTTGAGGAACTGTTTCAGCCCTAGTCAGCTTTAAAACACAGAAGACACACACTTTATTTTGGCCAAAATGTTGTTTTTTTTTAATTTAACAAAAGGCTTATTTTTGCTTAACCTAAAATTTGTATTTAACAAAAATATGAAGAACCTTTCTACTTAACAATAATACTATATATAGAAGAGCATTCTCAATATAAAAAAAAACGGTGGGCTACAGTAAGCTGCTGTTGCACCTTCATTTTCCCACTTGGTGGTTGTATGAACTGATTTTTTTAAGTGGCCAATATCGACCAATCGATTGGCAGATTACTTGTTCTCTCATATTTCAAGTCTTCTTATTCTCAGTCATATTTCAATTGATTTTTGGTACACAAACATATATAAAAAGTTTTTGCAGTTTTGGAAAATATTTTTTTGTATTATGCCAAACTCTAATTACAAGATTTAGTGGTCCAATACTGCAGATCATAATTACAACAAACTATGGCCAAACCGATGAACAGTTGTTACTTTGCAGCTGAAAAAAAACCCCAGCTACTATCTACCTATGTCCACAAAGAAATTAAACTGCTTTACCTTTTGTGAACTTCACTCAGCATATTTAGTTTTATACTGTACTCCCGCATTACATTTAATTTTCAGAATAGCAATATTTAAATTAAAAAATCACTGCAAAACGTTTAATACAATAATTTTTTAAGGTATATTTATTTCTGTTAATTCATGATACCTAAATCCATTCTGAAACCACTGAGTTTTGACCATTTATGATAAATGTGAAAAGAATGGGTATTTGAAAAATTCATTTGTGAAACTTCAAAGTTTTATTTTTTAGGTAACCAAAAAAGGAATATGGTCTAAAAACAAATTTTTTCCATATTTTGTTAATTATATATCCAGATCTGGAAAATGCTAGTGTATATATA